ACACTTTCATTTCTTACGTGAAACAGTGATAGGATTACTAATCAGCTATATTAATGCGTGTTCAGCTACGCACATGGTGAGTATTCAAGTCTGAACAGCGTCATTAGAAAAGGAAATATTTTGAAAAGATTCTACTACAGTGACTCACTCAGAAACGCGGAAACAACAGCCATATATTCACTGAAGCTGAATTCATTTGCATTAAAGCATATATTCATACACTGGACCTAACTTAGTAAAGTACGCCTGTTCTCATCACTGAAATAGTGGTCAGCAAACTACTTCTCACTTTTATGCTGCTTATTTGAAATCCGATATCATCAGAACTGCTTTATATATCCCACCATGTTACACCGTCATACTACATAAATTTCGGACATTATTCACATAAACAGTGAACAGTTTGAAGAGAAACGTAGTGCAAGTACTTGTTACCGGATCTGCTCGTATCCCATAATCTGTTGGAGCTGTCAATACTGCCTCAGTCATCGTTGCATCCACCTGTTTGATGTTCTCAAATGAATGTGAATCACAACATGACAGGTGCTTATCTTCTTGCGAATACTAATCTCCGGATTCTTTCCTAGTAGTTCAATGTGACAAAATCAAATGGGATATGTGCTGAACACACTGACATTTGGAAATCAAAAGTGAGTAGTGGCCGGCAGTAGAATCTAGGAGGTCTGCTTCGTCCTCCTTAGGACACATCAACTCCAAGCACCTGGGACTTAGTGAGTGCTGGTGATACTCTCACTGAGAATTGAGGTGGGCATGTGCAACTGCAGATGCTGTAGTGTTACCCACGAGTCTAATGTGTTGTGATACCCACTCCGTGTCGGATGGGTATGGATTCCTATAAGATCTGGAGCCAGCCTGTTCACTGATTTGATACGAATAGTCAGAACGATGAATGATTCTTTCTATGGAGAAATTAATTGATGGTGATTGTTGAAATTAATGGTAAAAATGAGATGAAAATTCGAAATAGTTCATACTTTGCACGAATCTACATGGTACATTTCGAAGACACAATTAATCTGAAGAATCTGTGTGGTGTATTTTCTCAATACATTTTGAACGGTCTCATCACACATGCACTTGCAAATTCCAATAAAAAAATTCCATTTCCTTACCAAGATTAGCATCAAATATGTCACTCTTGCTGTTTGTTCTCATCTTTCTCAATTTTTATTCCCTTATATCAGCGGTATATTTTGTTTGTGCTTTGAAGTTTGTTTAGCGGTTAGATTTGTTTTACGGGGTAGGGTTGCTAGCCCTATGCCCAACCTTCCCTCTTTACCCGGGCTTAGGACCGGCTAGTAACTAGTAAACTAGTTTACCAGTCGATGACCATGCACTGAGAAGGCCGACTGAGGACATCACGCGTCAGGCCCTCGAGTGGAATCCCCATGGGAAGCGACGAGTTGGACGTCCGAGGGTGACATGGAGGAGGTCGTGCGAGGAGGAAATGAGAGCTTCTGGGCTGTCATGGGACCAGGTTCAAAAGATCTCAGAGAACAGAGGTCACTGGAGGCGTGCTACTGAAGCCCTATGTTCCACTAGGAACCCAAGGGAATAATAATATATCAGCGGTATGATAGAAATTGATTTGACAAGGAAGTGTGTGGCCAGAATGTTCGAAAAATGTATCACGCAAACGAATCACACAAATTGTTCGCATAAACTGCCTTTCCTAATTACACTATGTACACTTTAATGGGTTATCCACTGCAAATGGTACTACTCATAAGTAGCACAGTGAAAAAAGTGAAAGTTTGAGGTAGAAACGGAATGTAGGAATCGATGCATAAACCTTCACAGATCTCACTGGGACATTTATTTATCTAACGCAAGGCAGTGACGACATTTCCAATTATTGCTAACGATGTGTGTTAAGCTATGCACAAGGTTAGTATTCATGTGTGAACAGCGTCATTAGAGAAGGAAGTGTATTGAAAAAATTCGACTACAGTGACAAACAGAAGGGTGGAAACGACAGCCACATAATAATTGAAGTCAACCTTATGCTTATTCTACACGTATCTCAGCAAATTATACCTGTTTTCATCAACAGTTCATCACTTCTCTTGAATTATCTTGCTTATTTGAAATCCGATATCATCAGAACTGCTTTATATATCCCATCATGCTACACTTTCATATTGCATTGAATTGACAAATGAGTCTGTGGCCAGATTATCTGAAACATATTGCATAAATTTCGGATATTGTTCACATGAACAGTGCCACCTGTGTACACCGTTCGAATTTATTTTGGAGACTGATTGTCCCGAGGACACATTTACTGAACTCCTAACCTACCCTGAATTATTCAGTGACCATATTCTTGTACATTATTTCTTGCAGTATTTCATGAATATTAATGCAAATCTCATGAATGCCACAGCCAGTGAATCATTTAAAAATATCGTTGAGCAACTGAAGGTCCTGAATACGATGGGTCATGCGATGAGTGAAACAGTTGTCAGAAGTTTGCAGGTTTTCGATGGTAGTCCGAGATGAATACTGCCTGGAAACTACATACCTAGTTTCATCGTTCACGTTTAAAAAAGCTTATCTTCACAGTTGTGAGGAGTGACAACAAAATGCCTATGATACATGTGTTTATCTAAACCCCACTCTCACATTATTACAACGGCAATCCTACTCATAGTCGGTGGAAATATTTTGGCATCTCAGTTTTCATATCGCTTAGATATATGTTCCAGTGGAGAGGAGAAGAGAATCCTGACAGAGGTAGCGAAGAGATTTCAATCAGGGGAAAAGCCAGAAGAAAGTGCTGAGTACACAATTCTGCAGAATATTAGGAAGGATTCTCGGTGAATTCTGTCGTCAGATTGTTTTGTTTCCATCTACTGCTATCATTGTGGTTTAAGCTGCTACAATCTGTGCTAATATTAACCATAGAAATGAAGTAACACGTTTAGGTTTCCGAAATGACATCATCATTGAAAAAGGAATCAGGGGGATAGAGATGTACGAGTGAGTTGGTTTGAACAAAAGACAATTACACACAACTGGAAATGTCATCATGCTTAGCAATGATAATATGCACGAAGGGCATCGTTGAACTGGTTAACCACTCTTTTGAGTTCACCGTTAAAATTACCAGTGTGAGTGGAAATCACTGCATGATAAATTGGTTGAAAAGCAATCAGATCCCACCATGTGACAGAGTGACAACACTACAGATTAAATCTCGTCGTCGTTAAGCTTATTCACTGCAGCACACCAATAGACGACTGAGAGTGAAATATTATGGTTTGGGATGATGCATTGTGTCCAGTTACATGTTTATCAAATAACTGAATACACTTGTGATGTTGCCACACATATCAGCGTCAACAATCGACTACATTGTGTTTAATCACGTGAGAATCGAAATGGTGGAGAATAATTTCAGCTCAGATGGATACTGTTGGTTGTGTTGTGTTCTCCGAGTTGGGTGATTTGTTTGTCAAACGTTCATAGTCTTTGTAGACAACGTCATCAGCACTGACTTCGATATGAAGTGAGCTATGAATACCTCTGCATCAGTGACCCAGTGGCCTGCCAGGACGAACTGGTTTGTGACTGTTTGTGGTGTCACTGTCTGAATGGATTTTCCTGTTGGCTGTTTCTCTGTCTCAACTCAAACATTTCTACTGTTTATCGTTTTTGTTAATGATTCATAAGTTAGGTCTATGTCTGTTCATCCAGTGATTACTGACTGACCTGAATGTCAGGCTTCTGGAAATTCTCTGATATTCTGTGTTTCCCCTGTTCAAGACTTTTACATTGTTCAAATTCAATTCATACTCGTAGTTATCCACGTACACTAGAATGAATGATGAAATTTCGTGACGCTCAATGTGTCTTCAGAGATAGTTTGCTGGTGTTATTCTTAGTTATATATAGTAGGATTCTCGTGCACATAGAATTCTTAAAATGCCAGCAATATTGTCGTCGGAATAGTTGATAATGTTGTTAAGATCAAGAGATAAGGTAGGTCGAAGCTTGTAAATTCATCAAGGTTGTGTAGTATTGAAGGAGGAAGTTAGTATGTGAACAAAATCTGAATGTGGATTTATCAAATATGACAAAGGCAGTATCATCAATGAAGTCATTCATGGTGAAGGTGGGGAGAGATTTCCTCAATACGAATATCAGGTGTATCGTTTCACATTTCTATGACTTCAGAAGCGGATCTGAATCTAATAGGAACACTGGCAAGTCAGGTTAGACGATCAAGTCAGCCGATTGTTTTAAAGATATCAACTAGATGAAACGAAATATCAACTTCGCATGGAACTAATCCATCGTTTTCCTCTCCTCTCAGCGTGTTATTCAGTAGAGATCTCACTGAGTTGTCTCATTGTATGCCCTAAATGAATCTGTTCTCAGAAACACTTAAATTATTCAATACATATAGAAGCGCTTCTGCTCGGTAGCTTGTCACTCATCCAGTTAGGGTAGGCTAAACAAGCTGGCACTAGAACCTCTCTGGAAGAGGCAACTTAAACTCCATCTATTATTTAAAGTCACTTTGTAACCAAGTGCACTCATGCAGCCAGAAAATTAAAACAATTGTAACGTCTGTCTACTATAAACGTAGTCACAAAATGTAAGCTGAAGCTGAGTGTTGGGAGACCAACTGGTGAGTTAACTTCTTCCTCAATATATTCTCTCACATCTGAAATAAACTTCCTGAAGAGATACGTGCTGTAAGTTTATCACCGGTTTTCGCTCATCACTTAATAAACAACTCATACATGATGAGTCTACCACTCACTTAGCCACCATCTGTAAATCCTGATCTAATGAAAATGCACCGAGAGCTATAATCGAATAATGTGAGCTTATCATCAATATCTATCAAGCAAGTACCTCCAACCCCAATCGACTCACAAATCGTGTTTGATTACTAGTTCATCTGCTTGCATTGTGCACTCAGTTAAGTAGAAGTTAATGAGTAAAAATGCATTTAATGTGGAGTCTTCATTCACTTCGTGTTTACAAAATCAACAACGCATATTTGATATTTCGATAGCGTAATTAGAAGACGAAGTTTATTTGAACAATGTGATGTATTTGCGCAATACATTTCGAACAATCTAATCTCACATTTACTTGTCAAGTCAATATATATTGAACCGAGGACTGGGGGACAAATGCAACAATTAACACAATAGGAGAATGAAATTAAGAAAGATGAGAACAAACAGGAAGTGACACAGTTGATCCTGATCTTGGTAAGAAAACAAGGTTTAACAAGGTAGGTGTAGTGTAAGAACAAACTGTTTTTGTACACATGAAGGTAGTTAAAATTTGTGCATGTCTATGGCTTCCGCAAATCTCAGAATACGTCCCTGACTGACTGTTTCTGTACAGAAATTTGAAAGCTGTTTGAACATTAACTTTGTGACCTGTTTATATGATGTGTTTAGCTATAGATGAAGGGGGTCGTCTCTCACCAATGTTTATCACTATTTCACACTCCATTTGCTTTTGAAGCCATTTAGGCACATGTTCTCCCACCCTCAACTTCATGACTCGATTACTCCTCACCAATTAACATGTGTGACCACACACACATGTTAATTGGTAACTTGTTAACTTGAAACAGTAAATGATCCAGACGGGTAGATTAAGTGTCAGCCACTTGTAACGCAAACATCGAATATTGCGCGAGCTAGATACTAACTAGTCAAAGGTGCTGAGACTGATGAATGGAAGTGATCTGAACTCATGAACACTGTTTGTGTACTGATAACCCTCGCCTAGTTTGCTAGTTTACTACCCAGTCCTAATCCTGGAAACAGAGGGAAGTTTGGATGTGTGGCTAGCAACCCTGCACCGGAAAGTCAATCCAAGCACTAAAGAAAATTCAAAGCACAGATTGAACATAAAAACAAACTTTTTCCGCTCTGAATTCAAGGGGACGAAATGACGCTGGTTGGTGAAAGACTTTGGGAAACCAATTAGCCGATTTATCTCCGCTTCTCTAGATGAAAGCTAAAGTAAGCATGGGGAGAAGGATTGTCCGCACAATGTTCGAAGCTGGCTAGCAAGGCTGCCCAGATTGCAATAGAGATGAGAAGGTATGGCATAGAAGTGCCAGGAACCTGCGAGGAATCAGCCAGCAGATAGAATGCAAGTGGACTCTCCTAACTGTCAACTGGAGAGGAGAGTCAAAAATCTACTGCGAGACTGTCACACAAACGACAACCACGAGCACACTGAGATTTCGAGTGACTATCATGATGTCCCCAACAGCATCGAAGGCTCTCATGCAGTGGGAACTAATCTCCTCCTGGAGGATCAGGATCAGGACAGCAAGATGGATTCAACTCAAAAGGAAAGAAAGTCACAATCATTAAATGCTACGCTATGCACCTACAAATAAGGCAGATAAAGAGGTGAAGAAGAAATTCTACAGACAACTTGAATCAACGCTGGACAAGACCCCACCTCAGTTGGCGACATCGAAATCCTAATGCGTGCGGTGACATGAATGCCAGACTGGGAGCAGACAACACAGGAAGAGAAGAAACCATAGGCCAAGAAGCACTCGGTGAAATGAGTGAGAATGTAGAACTGTTTGCAGAATTCTGTGCGTTCAACCAGTTGGTGATTGGAGGCGCTGTGTTCAAGCACAAGGATATCCACAAAGTGAAATGGATTTCACCAGACACCAGGACACACTAAAAACCAGATCGACTTCATCTCAATGTGAGGAACGTGGAGACGCAGCCTAATTGACACAAGGTCAAGAAGGGGAGCAGTTGTGGGCTCAGTCCACTATCTAGTGCAAGGAACCTTCCGAATCAAGTCGAAAACCTTCCAAGAAGTTGTTGATAGACTACAGTTCAAGTTCAACACCTAAAACAGAAATTGAATGACAAAACTGTAAAGGACATGTTTACTCAGATTTTCAACAAATCTTCATGTCAATTCACTAATCGATATCCACAAAATCTGACATGGCAAACACCAGTCCATATCACTGCTCAAGTAAGTAGTCAGCATTTATCAATGGAACATGTCATATTCACTCTATCTGGTGGATGACAGCTTACCGATATTGACAACCAGAGAGTCAGAGAGAGAGAGTGAGAGAGAGCGAGAGAGAGAGCGAGAGAGACAGCATGCAACTCAACTCCAGTTAACAAACTATATATAAGGAAGGGTGCACGCATTCCAGTATGCCAGAGTTGGATTGCACACAACTAGAAGCAATGTTCGCAACCAAGGTGAGTGTGTTAATCGTTTGCATTGAAAGGAAAATGGTCTGTAGGTTCTCTTAATCTGTGTGTGCATTTACATCGTGGCCAATGCGGCATCTGGTGCACCAGCGAAAGGTAGACTTCAGTTTCCGTGGAAGGAGAGTAATGATATTTGACTTTTTCAGGAAGTCACGCTAACTTGTCAAAACCCAATGCAGGTGACAAACACAACCATAATCACAAGTCAGGTAAGCTCGTTCGTGTGTGTGTGTGTGTGTGTGTGTGTGCGTGTGCATGTGTTTCTGTCGAAAATATTTCAACTTTCTGATTTCATCATCTGCATTATCAACTTGCAAAACTGACAACCTCTTCGGTTTCCGTGTCCTTCACATATATAGGGAATTTGAAGAAAGTGTCACGTGGATCATCGGAAACAGCTGTGGAGGATGTGAAACCAGTAGAACCTGAGAGCGCATTCTTACTGGAACTTTTCACTGGATTATTCGGTGGTTGAAGTCTATGCATTTGTTTATCTATGATAGTGATAATAAATCGAGTGTTTTCATGGTGATCTTGTTGGTTCTCAAATCTTCTTAGCCTGGTTATTTCATTCACTCGTTCATTCAGTCATTCACTCATCCGATGAACTGGGATGTGTTTGAATAATGTTGTGAGTGAGGGAGTTCACCAATTCGAATGAAGATATTACTAGAGAAATGAGTAGTGGATATGTGATTCCGCCATGGAATGAACTCTCAGTATGATGGGAGACAGAAATATCATTGAAAGTTCAAGGTGGTATTCATCATGGACTGACATGACTTGGAGAACCAGTGAATGGGTGGACAAGTGTTTCTGACAACAGTATGACTCAGCGTTGTGCAACCACGATGCAGTAGTTGAACTACACCCTGCTGTCCACGAAAACTGACGAGTTTTGACATAACCCTCGACTGAATCGAGTTCATGTTGTTGAGGATTTGCATACTACTAGTGAGAAACGACTATTCAGTGCTTGTGTGGTGACTAGTAATTCTCGAAAATATTCGCCTCTCTTCAATGAAGAATTTCTTGAAGTCAATCAGTCTTCACAAACCTGCACAGTGAATTTTCTATACATTCAATTTATTTTGTGAATGTACTTGTGTAGAAATATGCTTTGTAGTATTATGGTTAACTAACGATGGAAGTAATTTATGGGAGTGTCCGTGAATATCAACTACAAGTGTATTGAAATTAAAAGATCCTAATTAAAGATCAGTGAACAGCATTGGAAACTTATAGCAAACCTTGTTAAATACAACATTTTATGTTGCCGCCGTTAGTGTGATTTTGTGTACCAGATGTATCATTGTGTCATGTCTGGAAGGAGGTGGGGTTTATCATACATTCATGTCAGTATGTATTGACCAGTTCTACAGCTCCTGTGAATTAAGCAATTTGGCAGATATTATGAGAACGGGTTGACAATGTGTGAAAGAATATATCTGAGAATGGTTGGCGAAAAGACTAGTCAAGAAGATGATGAGTTCCATCCAGTCACACCTGGCATACACTGGTGCAAATTTAGACATACGTTTGGCTGTTTCACTCATCTATAAGATAGATAACTAGTCGAATGCCTTGAATGATGGCAACAAAGTAAGCCTTCTTCAAACTGTGTAATCCGTTGCATTCAAAATCACAAAACCGAAGATGCGTACGAGGGTGAATCTCAGAGAATCCACAAGGATGGCAATCGCATACTTGATGCAGACAATAATTGACTATCAACAATTTAGACATATTTGACGAAGTTGTGGCTGAAAAGTTTTCATTGCGATTGTCGTTTTGTCTTTGATATTCCTATTTTTCACTCAACCTGATATTTGATGGACACCCACTGCTCACTGGGGTTTTCCTAACTTCAATTCATGTCTAAGTTTTAGTTTATAACCTTGTTAGTTCCTTCATGCACCAATTGTTCGCAAACTGTGACTCAACATCGTTCCCTAAAATTAGTTTCCTTCTTTCTGAGCGGATTTGATCATCTACACTGCCTTTTAATTCGGTGTCAAACTAGCGAAGCTTTCAAGCGGTATGAAAACCACTGTCATCTGGTCAGCGAAATCTACAGACTACAGTGAGTGTTCCGCAATTATTCATATTCATTCGTAGTACATTTCTTTACTTCCTGACACTTTTGTCTCACAAATCGCACTTTGTCATCTCGGACTATAAGTGCTTTCTTGTGAATACCCTGTGTACACCATAGTTCGTCAGTTGAGAAACTACTCTAATATTACAAATATCATCGTCCATCATGCACAGCGTTATTTATTCGCAAGTTTTTATTATTATTACTTGTCCCTTGGGTTCCTAGTAGAACATACTGCTTCAGTAGAACGTCTCTGGTGCACTCTCTTCTCTGCAATCTTTTCAACCTGGCTCCACTGGAGTGCCTGGCCTGGCGCGTGATGCCCCCAGTCGGCCTTCTCATTGGATGCTCACTCCAATCCATCTCCACTTCCTTCTCCATATTTGTTGAGTGATAGGTTCCTGGTTGGTTCCTCGCCAGCCAGCCAGAGTTCCTTGTGGCTTATCCTTATTACTCTGGCCATCTGAGATTCAGCAACGAGCCAGCGTAGGCACTTGTTGATGAATGTCTGTAGTTTGTTGGAAATCCTTTTCGTAACGTGTCAAGTCTTTGAGGCATATAACAGCACCGACTTGACGCTGGTGTTGAAAATCCGGTTGTTGTTTACGCTTCATGCTAAGTGCAAAAGATATCCACACTGGTTTCAGGCTGATGAAAGCCTGTCTTTCTCTTCCGATCCTGACTTTGACGTCCTCGTCCGTGTCGCCCGTAGTTGAGACAGAGCTGCCCGCGTGGTGGCTGAAAGAGGCTACTTCTAAGTTTCTCCTGTTCATGGTGATTGGAGCTCGTTGTTGTTGGTGGTCTTGGTTAGGTATCGTCATCACTTCTGTCTTCTCTATATTCACCTGAAGTCCCGTCTTCCCTCGCTGCTCTACCTCTTCTATCAACTTGTTGGTTTGCGCCTGTAGATCTTCAAGTTTGTGCCACAAGACATTAGACATATGTCATCGTAGGCGAAATCCAAGTCTTCTGGTTCTTTTCGGCCCTGCCAGCGTATCCCCCTCTTCTCGCTCCCCACTGTTAGCTGCATGATCCAGTCCACCACAATCGGGAATATCATGGGTGATAGTGGATGGCAGCCTTGTTTCACTCCTGTCTCCACTTCACTTCATAGGCATCACTGAGCTTCCCATTGTGAATTTCTTGGCGTGCAGCGTCTTCATATAGTTGTTGAATGAGATTGATAAAGGTTTGTTGCATTCCGTAGTGTTGAAGCAGTTGACAAATTACTTGTCGGTGGACGCTGTTGAAGACTGGCCTTTTCAAAGTCCATGAAGTTGAGTTGTGGTAGAGAGTTGACTGCCTTTCTATACTCTGTTCTATGATGATGCGAAGCGTAGCAATTTGGTCCGCACATGATTTGTACTTGCTGAAGTCAGCCAGCCAGCCTGTTCCGGTCGTAGTTTTGGATGCAGTTCATCCTTTAGCCTCTCCAAGATGATGCGGCTTAATATTTTCCTTGGGTTGGACAGGAGAGTGATTCCGCGCCAGTTCTTGCAAACACTGAGGTCTCCCTTCTTTGGGAGTTTGACAAGGTAGCCCCTCTTCCAATCAATCGCCAGGTAACTTCCCTTCCTTCCACACCTTCTGCAATAGTGGTGTGGTGTGAGCATGTCCGCTGTTGTCTCTGCGTCTGTTTTCAGCGATTCTGACGGGATCCCATCTGGTCCTGCTGCTTTCCCACATTTCAGTAGCTTTATGGCGCTCAGGACTTCCACTTTTGTTGGAGGATTCATGTTCACTTGTAGTTCAGCGGCTGGACTGCTGGTGGTATTTCTGGACGAAGTGCAGGTGGTGGTGATGGTGGTCGATTCAAGAGCTTCTTGAAGTGGTCAGCCCATTGTTTCCTTTGTTTCTCTTATTTTGTAATTAAATTTCCTTCATCATCTTTTATTGGTTTCGTCTGCGTTGATCTCTTCCCTCTCAGATAGCAACCTGGTTATTTGATACAGTGTCGTCAGGTCTCTAACTCTCCTGCCAGCAGCCTGCAGCCTGTTCTGCTTCACTTACCAGTTTCGTCCTTCAATTTCTCTAACAAGGGACATCTTCGAAGTAGCCATCCAGACAAAATGGGAGAAATCAAGGGATATCCGTGAAGTAATGTGCGTGGGTGAGCACTGGAACCCTTTGAAAGTTATGTAAAAAGAAACATGTATGACCGTATTAGGAAGGAAGAAGAAAGAAGATGAGGATAGATCTCGGTGGACAGATGGAAACTGATAGATGAGGGAGAAGAGGATGGTGATGCATAAGGGATGCACACCGAAGACAGAAACTGAGTACAATGTATAAAACACTACACTGGACAAAGAAGTGAAGAAGAGTGCACGCAAAGACAAAAGACACCTACTTCTACGACACACTGGCAAGTGAAGCAGAACAGGCTGCAGGCTGCTGGCAGGAGAGTTAGAGACCTGACGACACTGTATCAAATAACCAGGTTGCTATCTGAGAGGGAAGAGATCAACGCAGACGAAACCAATAAAAGATGATGAAGGAAATTTAATTACAAAATAAGAGAAACAAAGGAAACAATGGGCTGACCACTTCAAGAAGCTCTTGAATCGACCACCATCACCACCACCTGCACTTCGTCCAGAAATACCACCAGCAGTCCAGCCGCTGAACTACAAGTGAACATGAATCCTCCAACAAAAGTGGAAGTCCTGAGCGCCATAAAGCTACTGAAATGTGGGAAAGCAGCAGGACCAGATGGGATCCCGTCAGAATCGCTGAAAACAGACGCAGAGACAACAGCGGACATGCTCACACCACACCACTATTGCAGAAGGTGTGGAAGGAAGGGAAGTTACCTGGCGATTGATTGGAAGAGGGGCTACCTTGTCAAACTCCCAAAGAAGGGAGACCTCAGTGTTTGCAAGAACTGGCGCGGAATCACTCTCCTGTCCAACCCAAGGAAAATATTAAGCCGCATCATCTTGGAGAGGCTAAAGGATGAACTGCATCCAAAACTACGACCGGAACAGGCTGGCTGGCTGACTTCAGCAAGTACAAATCATGTGCGGACCAAATTGCTACGCTTCGCATCATCATAGAACAGAGTATAGAAAGGCAGTCAACTCTCTACCACAACTCAACTTCATGGACTTTGAAAAGGCCAGTCTTCAACAGCGTCCACCGACAAGTAATTTGTCAACTGCTTCAACACTACGGAATGCAACAAACCTTTATCAATCTCATTCAACAACTATATGAAGACGCTGCACGCCAAGAAATTCACAATGGGAAGCTCAGTGATGCCTATGAAGTGAAGTGGAGACAGGAGTGAAACAAGGCTGCCATCCACTATCACCCATGATATTCCCGATTGTGGTGGACTGGATCATGCAGCTAACAGTGGGGAGCGAGAAGAGGGGGATACGCTGGCAGGGCCGAAAAGAACCCAGAAGACTTGGATTTCGCCTACGATGACATATGTCTAATGTCTTGTGGCACAAACTTGAAGATCTACAGGCGCAAACCAACAAGTTGATAGAAGAGGTAGAGCAGCGAGGGAAGACGGGACTTCAGGTGAATATAGAGAAGACAGAAGTGATGACGATACCTAACCAAGACCACCAACAACAACGAGCTCCAATCACCATGAACAGGAGAAACTTAGAAGTAGCCTCTTTCAGCCACCACGCGGGCAGCTCTGTCTCAACTACGGGCGACACGGACGAGGACGTCAAAGTCAGGATCGGAAGAGAAAGACAGGCTTTCATCAGCCTGAAACCAGTGTGGATATCTTTTGCACTTAGCATGAAGCGTAAACAACAACCGGATTTTCAACACCAGCGTCAAGTCGGTGCTGTTATATGCCTCAAAGACTTGGCACGTTACGAAAAAGATTTCCAACAAACTACAGACATTCATCAACAAGTGCCTACGCTGGCTCGTTGCTGAATCTCAGATGGCCAGAGTAATAAGGATAAGCCACAAGGAACTCTGGCTGGCTGGCGAGGAACCAACCAGGAACCTATCACTCAACAAATATGGAGAAGGAAGTGGAGATGGATTGGAGTGAGCATCCAATGAGAAGGCCGACTGGGGGCATCACGCGCCAGGCCAGGCACTCCAGTGGAGCCAGGTTGAAAAGATTGCAGAGAAGAGAGTGCACCAGAGACGTTCTACTGAAGCAGTATGTTCTACTAGGAACCCAAGGGACAAGTAATAATAATAAAAACTTGCGAATAAATAACGCTGTGCATGATGGACGATGATATTTGTAATATTAGAGTAGTTTCTCAACTGACGAACTATGGTGTACACAGGGTATTCACAAGAAAGCACTTATAGTCCGAGATGACAAAGTGCGATTTGTGAGACAAAAGTGTCAGGAAGTAAAGAAATGTACTACGAATGAATATGAATAATTGCGGAACACTCACTGTAGTCTGTAGATTTCGCTGACCAGATGACAGTGGTTTTCATACCGCTTGAAAGCTTCGCTAGTTTGACACCGAATTAAAAGGCAGTGTAGATGATCAAATCCGCTCAGAAAGAAGGAAACTAATTTTAGGGAACGATGTTGAGTCACAGTTTGCGAACAATTGGTGCATGAAGGAACTAACAAGGTTATAAACTAAAACTTAGACATGAATTGAAGTTAGGAAAACCCCAGTGAGCAGTGGGTGTCCATCAAATATCAGGTTGAGTGAAAAATAGGAATATCAAAGACAAAACGACAATCGCAATTAAAACTTTTCAGCCACAACTTCGTCAAATATGTCTAAATTGTTGATGGTCAATTATTGTCTGCATCAAGTATGCGATTGCCATCCTTGTGGATTCTCTGAGATTCACCCTCGTACGCATCTTCGGTTTTGTGATTTTGAATGCAACGGATTACACAGTTTGAAGAAGGCTTACTTTGTTGCCATCATTCAAGGCATTCGACTAGTTATCTATCTTATAGATGAGTGAAACAGCCAAACGTATGTCTAAATTTGCACCAGTGTATGCCAGGTGTGACTGGATGGAACTCATCATCTTCTTGACTAGTCTTTTCGCCAACCATTCTCAGATATATTCTTTC